AGTACATGAATAAAGATATTTTTATTCAGAACATGTCATTTTTTACAAAAATGTTAATCGTGTAACAAACATTTTTTAGCTACAGAACTGTTTGGTTCTTTTCTATGGAATTTAATTAATTAAAAGACAGTGACACAACACTCCAATAAATAAACTATATTTGTATGTCTACAAAAAATGTATATATATGTATGAAAGAAAAATGTATATATGTAAAAAGATTTCTTGTTGAAACGCGATACAGAACTTAAGTAATTGCCACCAATCGTCGCAGATTAAAAGACAAAACGAAAAACATATAACTGTGGGCTAATTATATAACACTATATGAAATTGTTTCTGTTGAAGTTGTTATGCAATATAAAATCATTTCAATTAAAAAAATGCGATGAAGTAAGGTCGATTGACGGCAACATAAATTATTTCTATCGATAAAACACTACTATGAACTTGCAGCGGAATATTGTTAATCCGACCAATTTGAAAAGTGAGTACATTAGATAGCTTATACATTTAGAAGCATACATTTTAATTTATTGGGTTAATACACTAGTTGGTTGGTTGTTAGGGTTACTAAATCGACATTCGATAGAAATATTTATTATCGATATGTAAAGTTGCGTTTACGTTGCAATGCTAGTTGACAGCGTCAAATGGCGTCAATATAATCGCATTATTGACAGATGACGTCATTTTAACTACGTTACATACGAAAATCGTTGCGATCGAAGTTAGATAATTAGCCCACTGATTTACAATCGTTTATATTTCTTTGTAAAGCAATAACTGCAATTATCTAATAGAATGAACATAAAAAAAAAACAGAAATTTTAATATTCACAGCACGTGTTGATAGGAAAAATTATGTTATCACAATTTGTAGGTTTACTTCATGTTAGATAGGTACATCTTAATACTAATAGGTATCATGTGAAAATATGACAATAAGTTGGTTCCGCTTTCACGCAAAAACTACTGAACCGATCATCATGAAATTTTGTACACCTGTTCTTGGAGGTATTAGAATGAACAAAGGATACTTTTTATTAAAAAAAAACAAATATTTTTGATTTTATGCGAACGGAGCCGCGGGTAAAAACTAGTAATAAATATAACATCAAAAATAGTGGGTGGAAATAATAATTAATATACGTTAAAAATAAATTACATTAAATGTAGTTATAAATTAACAAGAAATCTAATTATTTATAATAGAAAAAAAATCTTACAAAACAAACTGTACTAGTAATTTAAGTATTCAAATAGATTACAGTTAGTTACAATTTTATTCGAATTAATAGAATAAAAATTATTAATTCAATATTTTAAGTTTTCAAATAGTGCAGTTAGTCACAATTTTATTAAAATTAATAGAATGAATATTATAAAAAGAACATTACACTATAGAATATTCGAGAAGAAATCCGAGTAACTAAACTATTTTACTAATATTATACACGCGGAAGTTTGTGTTTGGTACTCTTTCACGCAAAAACTACCGAACGGATTTTGATGAAACTTTACAGTAAAATAGTTTATACATCAGAATAACACATAGACTACAAATTCCGTGGGGGTGAAACCAGATAGTTAGTAATAATTTAACTTTATAAACAGGTAATCATTTCTTCCAGACCCGATTTAAGTGATGAAAATACTTAACAATATTTTTCTTTCTTTCTTAAGTAACAATGAATCTGATTCTCTTACACTAAAGCGCTGTCATACAGCCCTAATACTGACAAATTAGTCACAACACTCATTACAAAGACAAATTGATTGGTTACAACACTTTGGTGGAATATATAGGAACCAAATTGGAGATTACTAAGTGTTTGAGTAATACACGTAGTTTAGGGAAATTATTACAATATTCTGAGTTACGTCATACCAACATATCATATAACTAATATTATAGAATAGAAAATAGAAAAATTATTTATTCAAATAAACTTAAAATTGAGCACTTTTGAATAGTCAACAATCGCAAGCAATGCTGCGGGGGGCGCGGCTCGAGGGGTGCGAATAGCATCACACCGGCCGGCCCTCACTTCTGATCTCGCCACCGATTGACGACACTTGCGCTATTCCAATAAACTCTCTGTATTACTTATTTTAATTATACCAAGTCAGTACAGTCCATATAAACATTTAATTTAAAAGTCCTTAGTTAAGGGCCCTACGACCAGCAGAAGACCTACGAAAGATAAACAGCTTAACTTTCGATAAGCTGTTTTATTACAAGAAAATTGAGTTAGAAACAAACTTAAATATTAATCACTTTTAAATAGTAATATTTTTTTTTCAATTCACCACTCATTCGAGTTGTTTTATCAGAAGATTGAGTAACTTACGTGTTTCTCTGTGGTTGCAAATGTGGTAACATTACATTTTTAACTTATAATATGTGAATGAAAACTGAGTTAGAAACTTGCGTGTTGCTTTTTTAAACAATGCTGTAACTTTACGATATTCTTAAGTTAAAATATAACTACCAAATAGCATTAATTCGTTATATAGATATCCAAATAGTTGAGTGACTAAATAATAGTAAATTAGTCGTAGTGATTAGAGCAGACCAGTCCTTACAGGCAGAAACACAATAGTCAAGTTAGAGTGTTTTTATTTTTAAATTAACTCTACTATCACAACACCGGAATTAAGTTATTCTCAAAATGGTGCCTTTATTCCAGATTAACAAAGGTTAAAATTCAGTGGCAAAAATTGAAAGCTTCAATCTAGTTTATAGAATAAATAATCAATATGATTTAGTAACATATTCAAAAGACTGTAATATATTCCCTTATACACATATAAAAGTTATAATAAATACAATTTGACAGCACAATTTTTTCTCGCGGACATTAAGAGTAGGGACGGCAATCTGAGATCGATTTGTCGATAAATCGATTTAGAGCATCGATATTTCAGCATAGAAAATCGAGTGATTTCAGAGAGATGTGTATGTCTCGTTAAGAACCATAAAATTAGTTTAACAAAATTACTCAAAAACTCTAATAAAATGAGGTGGTACTACGCTCCTTTCGTTCCTTCCATCGTAAACAAAATCTGATCTAATCTGACTAAATCTATTTTTTTTACGATAGTACCTTTGCTTTGTTGTATTTGCTGATATTTATGTACATAGTAAATTAGTGTCTTCGTATAATTTTACTGAGAGTGAAATCGATTTTGTTACGATTCAATTATCGATATTTTTCGGAAAGAATCGCCATCCCTAAATATCGTCCATTTTACCAAAATATTCTAATATTTCACAATAACTACAAAACACGCAATAATCTCATTAATGCTAGAGTTTTCTAGGCAGTGCTTTTGTGTCTATGGTACCTGTAGTCAAATGACAAATGATGACAAAACTATTATAAAGTGGAAACAAACCGATTTTCGTATAGGTTTGTATTCACTTTAAAGGAAAGAAAGGCATTCATTTATGGTTGTGTCCACTTAATAGGGTAAAGTCCATATTCATATGGGTTTCGGGCTACTTTATACGAAAGAAACCCATTACAATACGGGTTTATTTCCATCTATTGGACAAAATACTGACCGTCATCTATATACTCATGAATGCAAAGGAGACCATAAAAACATTGATATGCCAATCCTAAAGACTAAGATGATATTCCTCCACATGTACAGTGATAGCATAATTTTATTATATGTAAACAGAACGCTATATGTACAATCTCTTTCTTTCTCATACACACAGTGGCATCATCATAGTAGTTAGAATATTTGTCTATGGACCTGAAGTTAAATGAATTGTTACTGTTCTAAAAATATTGTCTTTGAGACCATATATAGAAACGTAATCGTTTCCCAAACGTATACGTCCCATATTTGTTATATCCCATAGACAAATATTTATAGAATGGTAATAAGTTGTAAACATTTGGGAAACGATTACGTTTTTATATATGGTCTCAAAGACAATATTTTTAGACCAGTAACAATTCATTTAACTTCAGGTCCATAGACAAATATTCTAACTAGTATAGAATGTTTTGTGCAATATCATTCACCGCTAGCGTTAGTGGTCCCGTTGGTTATAAGTTATAACATACAGCCGATAAGCAATTTAAGCAACTAATTAAGCTATTAAACAGTCGTTATTACTGTTGTATCTGACATATACCTTAATGATAAATGATTCTGAACATATTTAACACCGGGGGCGAATCTACTTAAGGGCTTTTTAGGCTGCAGCCCAGGGCCCCGTGAATACAAAGGGTCCCCAGCCCCACTGAAAATAATAGGCGATATTTAGGATAAAAAAACTTGTCCCTGACGAGTCTAGGTAGCGAACTCTGAAAAGGGCGAGCACAATAGATCTATGTAGGTCGCAGTGCTACAGGTGCTACACATCTGACAATAGCCCAAACAATCCAATAAAATATATATGATAAAAAAAAGTATCTAAAATATTAAATACCTATCCATTAAAGTTACTGCACCTATATCTTCAAGGCTAGGCTTCCGAGCTGTACCCGACTCTATTCAGCTCTTGATGATGCCTCGTTCAGAGGCGGAACATGTGTCGCAATGAGTGTAGACTCAATGATGGTCGGAATTTGATCACCATTAGAGAAGGTGGTAACGGTAGTCAAGTTACCACACCGAATATTTGTGGTCTCACACATGCTGATTGTAGTGGAATTAAACAAAATAATACAAATCCATCAAGAAGTGAAATCGACTTCCGCAAAATAACATCTAATTCGATTATATATAATAATAATAATAATTTATTGCAATCTGAGTTTGTGTTAAGTTGTACATAATAGTTCAATTCATTTAAACATACAGATATAATTGAACTAGCATAGAATATATTATAATATATTTCAGGTGTCAGGTTTATTACTAGATTATTTTATTTAATTCGTTAATCAGGACTAAAAAAGTATTTATATATGCATATCAATTGTCTAGTACCCATAACAAACTCTGCTTAGTTTGGGACTAGGTGGCGCTGTGTGAATTGTTCAGTGATATTATTATTATTATAAATATACAAGTTTATGTCAGATACTCTCATTAAACGTCATACATAAATGTATGAGATTACGCTATACGTAGCAACCATGTACATTTGCAGTCATACAATGTTTGACAATACAAAATACAAAATTCAAATACTGGATATAAAAGATATGACAGTACCACTTGGGCTGACTACATCTCTTCCCGTCTCCACTCTCTCCCGCTGTTCTCTTTCTCTAACTCTTGATTGTCAGCCGAGCGTGTGCTGTAATCCGTTGTTGAGTAGCGCTGTCTGACTGTCGTGGAACTGCGTCAGCTGTACTGACTCCTGGGTTCGACGCCTCTCGCTGCTATTCCATACGCCATATGTGAAGTAGATCAAAAGACCTGAAATATATAAAAAAGATCAGTTTGTTTATTCGCGTTCGGGTAATATGCAAAGAAAGAAAGATAGAATATATTTATTCAGTGCTTTTGAGTCATTACATAGTATAAAACAAAGTCGCTGTCGCTGTCTGTCCGTCCCTATGTATGCTTAAATCTTTATAACTACGCAACGGATTTTGAATCGGTTTTTTTAATACATAGAGTGATTCTAGAGGAAGGTTTACATATGTATCCCCGTACGAGGGGCGAGTAACAAGTTACAATATAAATATAGACAACAAAAACGAAATATATATTTATAGAAAGTGTATATATATTTAAGCTATATATATTTGCAGGCTCAGTGTTTTTATGAGTCCAACTCATAAACATAATCATTGTGAATTTGAGAAATGGATAATAGACATAACTAATTAATGAATTTATATTATTTTGTTTAATTCCGCTACATTTATCGTGTGTGAGACCACAAAAATTCAGTGCGGAAACTTGACTACCGTTACGACCTTCCCTATTTTGATCACCAATCATATACCGTTATTGAATCTACACCCATAATGTAACACGTGTTTCGCCTCTGAACAAGGCATTATCAGCCATTGAATAGAGTTCGTATATAGCTTAGCGTGTAGGATTATTACACTCTTATGATATGTCAAATCTACCATCAGTTGCGAATGCTTTCGAGCTAAGAACTGACAATAAACTTAGGTCTTATTCTTTTCAAAAGAGCTTGTACATCATTAGAGTAATACAGTTTATTTTTTAATGGAACGAATCGTCGGTACGGTTCGTCCGGACTGAACTTACTATATTGAGCGTAAGAAGAGCGTCCAAATAGCTTCTAAGAAGATAAACTTATTGAGTATTCATATATTCTCGTAGTGTTTAGGCAATTGCATCTTCCTTATTCCTTTTATCCTGGTAAGGACCATAAAAACAATACAACTTACCTGCCGAGATCCAGACTCCAAATCTAACCCACGTCATATAATCCAAATTCAGCATCAGGTATACATTGATGAGAATGCTGAGACCTGGCAGCCAAGGGACCAATGGTACCTGTAGACAATAGAACACGTTAGAAGTGTAAAATTCAAAATTCAAATTCAAAATACAAAAATCATTTATTCATGTAGGACATTTTAGCCCCTTATGAATTTCAAATTTTTTACATTATAATTTTCATTTTATCATAGCATCCAGATTGTGTGGGTCACAGCACTCACAGCAGACTCATACATCGTTATGGTCCTTCGAGCCGGATTTCCTGATATATTAATTACTTTGCAGATAACCCCTCATGATACATACATAGAAAGCTAATTTCTTCTCTGACACCGGCTGCCTGGAGATGGCGTACAGCGTGGAGACGACCAGCAGCGCGCCCACCACCAGCATCGCCGTGGGCCCCGGCTCGCCGCGCAGGATGGCGTCCCCGTACTGGTTGATGCTGGACATCATTATGAAGCACCACACTCCTGGAAACAAGTAAATGGTATTATAGTTGAGTTACACTGATTTGAATATTTTAAACTATTAACGCGAAAGTTTGTAAGTATGGATGTTTGTTACTCATTCACGCAAAAATTACTGAACGGATTGTGATGAAATGAAATTTATGCATAAGAATAAATATAGACATCAGCGACCGCTACCGTAGCAGGAGACGAGCGCGGCATAAGACATCAGCGACCGCTCATAGACGTGCGCGGCCACCAGCGCGGCGGTGGCGGCCGTGGGCGCGGCGGCGGCCGTGGGGGGGGGGGGGCGGGGGGCGGGGGAGACATCAGCGACCGCTACCGTAGCAGGAGACGAGCGCGGCCACCAGCGCGGCGGTGGCGGCCGTGGGCGCGGCGGGGGGGCGGGGGGCCGGGGGGGCGGGGGAGACATCAGCGACCGCTACCGTAGCAGGAGACGAGCGCGGCCACCAGCGCGGCGGTGGCGGCCGTGGGCGCGGCGGGGGGGCGGGGGGGCGGGGGAGACATCAGCGACCGCTACCGTAGCAGGAGACGAGCGCGGCCACCAGCGCGGCGGTGGCGGCCGTGGGCGCGGCGGGGGGGCGGGGGGGCGGGGGAGACATCAGCGACCGCTACCGTAGCAGGAGACGAGCGCGGCCACCAGCGCGGCGGCGGCCGTGGCAGCGACCGCCGTGGGCGCGGCGGGGGGCGGTGGGGGGGCGAGGCGGGGGGGAGACATCAGCGACCGCTACCGTAGCAGGAGACGAGCGCGGCCACCAGCGCGGCGGTGGCGGCCGTGGGCGCGGCGGGGGGGCGGGGGGGCGGGGGAGACATCAGCGACCGCTACCGTAGCAGGAGACGAGCGCGGCCACCAGCGCGGCGGTGGCGGCCGTGGGCGCGGGGGGGGGGGGGGGGGGGGGGGGGGGGGGGGGGGGGGGGGGGGGGGGGGGGGGGGGGGGGTGGGGGGGGGGGGGGGGGGGGGGGGGGGGGGGGGGGGGGGGGGGGGGGGGGGGGGGGGGGCATCGGCCACCAGCGCGGCAGCGCGGCGGTGGCGGCCGTGGGCGCGGCCGTAGCAGGGGGCGGGGGGGGGGGGCGGGGGAGACATCAGCGACCGCTACCGTAGCAGGAGACGAGCGCGGCCACCAGCGCGGCGGTGGCGGCCGTGGAGCTCGGGGTGCCGCCAGTCGGGGGAGACATCAGCGACCGCTACCGTAGCAGGAGACGAGCGCGGCCACCAGCGCGGCGGTGGCGGCCGTGGGCGCGGCGGGGGCGGGTGTCCGGATCAGTTCCGCGAGGGGCCGCAGTACGCCGCGTACAGTGAGCGCGGGCGCCGGCACTCGCTGCGCCGCCGGGCTGCACTCGTATCTGTGGACACACACACTTTTATCCAATTGAAATGACAAACGCGCTTAGTCCATCATATTATAACTGATTACCGTCGCCTATATATTCATGTAGGTACATAACGTATCATGAAATAACTCGAGTTACCGGTAATGTGTTACCATTAGGGGCACTAACATGTCACGCCTCCAATCCCGTAATTTCACGGCTTAAATCTCAGCCTTTATATGTGTTCCGATTAACCAAAACACATTTTACAAAGTGACTGAAACAGATACAACTCAGGTACTTTATAATATATACCTTAGAAAGGCTTTTGGATGCGTGGCAAAGGATTTGATATAAAAAGTAAAACACTCGATAAATTTCCTTTATTTTTATAACCAAACACGCCGCATAGTAAAATAGTAATCTTGAAAAAATTTCAAGATTCCTCTTTGATGTGTGAATGTCTAAACTAATTAGCGATGTCTAAGATGACAGTCGCATGCCTCTACCTTGTTAATGTGTATTTACTTAAAACATATATTAATTAGAGCAACAAGCATGCAAGAAAGATGCTACAAACATTCAATTGTAGAATTCAGTGGTAAATATGACGTTTCAAAAGTTCTTGTATTAAGTTTAATTGAAAAAAGATTATTTCTATATCACCACTTGTACACAAAATAGCAAAGGACAATAAACAACAGTAATTCTTTTAAAATATTCGTTGCCTATTCTTAAATTATAAAGAACTTGACTGGTTAGTATACCTGAGCAGTAGAACACAAGAAGCGACCATAGAGTAAGCGAGCAGAGTGCCGATGGACATCATATGGATCAGCTGCTCCAACTTGAAGATCATCGCCAGTGTACCTGCCACATGATATTATATTTACAATTTTCGAAAAGGATATATATTAGCTACCCACCCGGATCCGCACGGGTGTACATGTATTATACATATAAACCTTCTTCTTGAATCACTGTGTGTATTGCTAAAAACTGCTTTAAAATCCAAAATAATTAATATCAAAGCGAAAAGATAGCAGAAGCCACTTAATTATACTATGTAAAGATACACTCTATGTTGCGGGTAATAATACTATGTTATCAGTTGAGACGATGTATATTACAGATGGTAATAGACTAACAATATGTATATAAAAATATAGATCTTATATACTAAATAACGATAGTAAAATGTAAGGACACAGTTTAGACACGGCAGTGTTTAGTACAATATTGAGTTTGTCTTACTAGCTATAATTAATTGCAATTATTATATTTATGACGTACGCGGGACACTGTTTGCGCGCGCGGTCTTTCTCGTTCTCGTTACCTACATTTACATGCCCATTCTTTCCTGCGTGAAAGCCGATTCGCACGTGAAAGAACGTATAAAGTCAGCTTATAATATGTGATTATTACCAGTGAAGACTCCAGCGACGAGGGTACCAACGAGCGGAGTTTGGAATCGCTGGCTGACTCGGCCCATACAACGGAACAGCAGCCCGTCGGATGACATCGCGTACATGATGCGTGGCAGGGGAAACACCGCGCCCAGCAGGCTGCACAGACATACACACAATTCGCTTATAGAGGTCTGGGTGGTGTAATTTACACACGCTTACTTCCGATCGCTGGTTCGATTCAGCGCACAGTACAAATGTAAGTGTAGTCATGAGTACGATTATTCGTATTGGTCTGGATATGTTTATTTACTTATTACTACCAATTTCGCACGGGTACATTACAAATGATTAAATTTCTTTTATGTATTATAATATACGTATAGTATATGTATAAAACTTCCACTGAATCCCTCTATCTATTACTGTAAACTGCATGCAAATCAGGTACTTAAGCATACAAATAGCAGCGGCGACTTTGTTTTAACGTCGTACACTATATAAAGATAAAGGAAAACCAGAAACCATTGACTATGATACCGATCTCTCTAACGGTATCGAACCACCTAGCTTGAGGCGAAATTTTACATAGCTTTGTATATTACCTAATATACAACGGATTGTGTTCTGAAGGATTGTTCGCATGAACCTAAGGCTACTTTTTACCACTCGCCATTGACAGGGAATTCATCTCCACACGCTGGAACCTAAGTGGTCTCCGACAGTGAGGTTTCAAATGAACTTCCTCCCGCGTACACTTACATTGTGGAATAAACTCACTGCCAAGGTTTTCTCAGAAGAAACTACTACGTGGAGTTTTTGAAGAAAGAAAGAAAGAAAGAAAGAAAGAAAGAAAGAAAGAAAGAAAGAAAGAAAGAAAGAAAGAAAGAAAGAAAGAAAGAAAGAAAATTATTTATTTGGTACACTGAAAATAATTTTTAAAATTTAATTTACATTTTATATTAATAATTAGAGTACCAACTAGGTCTCCGCTCAGCATATGTCGTGACGGGGTGCCACGACGCTGGTTTTCAGCGGACACCTTCATATACAATAAACATAATAAAATAATAATAATAATACACATACATACATAAATCCAGGCGGACAACACAAAGCAAAGAAGAAGGATATATTAACCTTTCCTAAGTTGATGTACACACCACTGCTGTTTAAAACGTTTATTGTCTACGGTAACTGTTTACCATCAGTCAGTCTGTACGATATATTGCCACCAACATAGTTAAAATATACGTAAAGTTGCAACAAAGAAAGCATGGCAGCTGAAAACGGCGAGACTGAGGTATCCACTGAGATATCTTCTAACAATCTACCACTTATAAAATCAATATTGATTCAAAATAACTGACCTGGAGCAGAGCGCGCAGATGGCGCCGACGCTGACGGCGTACTTGGCCCAGGACCAGCCCAGCCGGTCGTACACGAACGGGAACGGGGCTTTCTCATCCTGGTATATTGACAACATAGATTTACATTATTATACTAGCTGTGCCCGTGGTGAAATTGTATATATTATGTTATATGTTATTCTGATGTATAAGCTATATCTGTAAAGTTCCATAAAAATCCATTCAGTAGTTTTTGACAATAGTATATGACCTACTTGTTGAGAATTAGGGAGCTTCAATGATAGACTCGACGGACAGAATAGAAGTGTGTTTATTGTTTTTTTTTTCGGACTACTCTAATGCTGTTGGCCGTAGCTGGCCTTTACAGCTTCACCGGACGTTATGGGGCGAGTGCAGATGGCACTCCAAACCCGCGGAAGGACTTATGGAGCGGCTGAAGGCCAACTTCTGCCTGACGGATACGACTTTAGTCTGAGGGCACCACTAGGGGTTCGAACCTCGGCTCAGGCCGTCGTAATATCGATCCCCGTTTGAATTGGACAGGGGATCTATCGGAGGGGTAGTTATTGTAAAAATATTCGGGCTTAAATATACCATTTTACACGTGTCGCTTTTAAGCGCAGCTGCAGGTAACGACGGCTTGAAGGTTGCGCAGCTGCGTTTCTAATAAATCTTACACGTGCTGTGCGATAAGGATTCTAGGAAGTGGATGGTGGCACGTGTAAAAACTGTGTTGCTACAATGTAAAGGCGCTTAATAGGTTTCCTATATATGCTGACCTGCATGTAGTAGGGCAGCATGAGGGTGAGCACGGAGGAGACGCCGCAGTAGGCGAGGAACACCACCAGCAGCGACGCCACCACCGCGAACGGGATCGTCTTCTGAGGACGACGCGCCTCCTCGCCCGCCGTCGCCACGCAGTCGAAACCTGACCCAATGTACATTGATAACTATACTGTGTGCCCTGTATCATGGTGCGGGTGACAGTTTCATTTCACTCTTGAACAACAAATTATGACATAGTATTTCAACTGTACCACATTCGTAATATATTAAATCATTGATAACTGTAGTAACTTAAATTTAGCAACTGTTAAATATCGCAATTGTTAAATGAAACTCACCCGCACCATGCTACAGCGCACATAGTATAACTAAGTACCTGCCACTTCTTATTATTTTGTTATGTTGATAAAATACAGACTCGATAAATATAAGAGATGTGAATGTTTGAAATGTAATACTTGTAACATTTCTGTCGACACTCGAGATCCTTCCATTTAGTACCAACAACAACAATAACAAAAAAGAGTCCATTTTGTATGGCGATACAAGTATTTAATAAGCTTCCTGACGATATAAGAACTCTCTCTGGAATATTATTTAAAAGAACTGCATGAATAGTTAGTTTCCAAGTGTTATTACTCAATTAAAGAGTTTTTGGATTACTAAAATAATAAATTGTTCCTCATGACATTTAGATTTATATACAAATTGACATATACCTACCTACAATTATATAAACAATCGATAATTTAATTAACTTAAAATTTGTACGCTTGATGTAAGCAGATTTTGCAAGGGCCATGTTTTTGTATAACATCATATATGTATGTACCCAAAATCTATTGCAAATAAATTTATTATTATTATTACCTTTCCAGATAACAGAGATTTAAGTTCTATGAAGTTAATCTACGTCTCGACTCCGCGTCGAATGTACGCGTTACTAATCAATAAAACAGTATCTACTGTAGCACACTATCAAATAAACTTACTAATCACTACATAGTATAAAACAAAGTCGCTGTCGCTGTCTGTCCGTCCCGATGTATGCTTAAATCTTTAAAACTACGCAACAGATTTTGTAGCGGTTTTAATAGATAGGTATATGTATAATACATGTACACCCGGGCGAAGCCGGGGCGAATAGCTAGTCTACAATAAATAGTACAATTACTTCACCAGTATACTCACTACCTATATACTACAGTAACATTCTAAGGGGCCGTTCAAGTATTACGTAAGCACTATAGGGGGGCGGGGGCTCTTTTCTTTGCTTATTTTGGGTGACATGGGGGTGGGGGAGTCTGTATGATGATTACGTCATCGGTCGTAATTTACTTTTTTACACGAATGGCAACCCTCACATTGTCTTTGCTAAAAAAACAATACATTAATTAAGAAATGTTTACGTAAGCATGGGTGGAGGGGGTAAGAGCTTTGCTTACTTTTGCTGACAAGGGGGATGGGGAGTAAATAATTGTGATAAATCTGCTTACGTAATACTTGAACAGCCCCTAATAAACAATATATTATGTAGCGACATCTCATCACATCATACATAATGCTACAGTGGTGAGGTGATAACCACCGCGCTACAAAAATAAAAGAATTTTTGGTAAAGTTATGTTGTGCTTTTCTAGTTACAAATCCACTTTCTTCCATCCATCGATATTTATCCATCAGATAGGCCATATGCTTGTTCGCTACTATGATAGTACAAAAAAAAATCTCAGGACAATTTACACAGCGCCATCTAGACCCAAGTTAAGCTAGCTAAATCTTGTGTTATGGGTACTGGATAACTGATACAAATGTATAGATTTTTTTTCTAAATACCTACATATATACATAGAAAACACCCAGACCGACACAAACAATCATACTCATGAATACAAATGTTTGTGCCGTGCGAGGAATCGAACCCGCGACCATCGGAAGTAAAGTATATTAAACCACTAGACCACCGAGGCCGTCAAATACAAAAAATCCATTATAAGTTAACAGTGCATACCTATAAAACCATAGAAGCATACGGCAGCACCCTTGATGATGCCAGCTAACCCGTACGGCGCGAAGCCACCGCTCCCGAAATCCTTGCCAGTATTTTGGGGAACTTCGGAGGCAGGAATCTTCCAATTCTTGCTATCAGCTGCAATATATAAAATATTAAAAGTAAACCATTTTTTAAGTTCTAAGTAGAATTATTTAGAGGTTTCGTCCTCGCTATCTGATACGGATGTATGTAGAAGAAATTGTTATTAGTCACGCCCAAATAGTAATTATTGCACTTGTCACTAAATACTATAAAACAAAGTCGCTGTCGCTGTCTGTATGGACAGACCATAGGGATGGCCCTATATATATATGCTTAATTTTTTAACCTACACAAGATTTTGAAGTGGTTTATTTTAATAGATAAGAGTGATTCAAGAGGAAGGTCAATATATATAATACATGTACACCCGTGCGAAGCCGGGGCGAGTAGCTAGTTATATAGTATAAAACAAAGTCGCTGTCGCTGTCTGTCCATCCCTATATATGCTTAAATCTTTAAAACTACGCAACGGATTTTGAAGTAGTTTATTTTAATAGATAGAATGATTCAAGAGGAAGGTTAATATATATAATACATGGGGGCTGTTCAAGTATTACGTAAGCAGATTTATCACAATTATTTACCCCCCATCCCCCTTGTCAGCAAAAGTAAGCAAAGCTCTTACCCCCTCCACCCATGCTTACGTAAACATTTCTTAATTAATGTATTGTTTTTTTAGCAAAGACAATGTGAGGGTTGCCATTTGTGTAAAAAAGTAAATTACGACCGATGACGTAATCATCATACAGACTCCCCCACCCCCATGTCATCCAAAATAAGCAAAGAAAATACCCCCCGCCCCCCTATAGTGCTTACGTAATACTTGAACGGCCCCATGTACACCCGTGTGAAGCCGGGGCGAGTAGCTAGTTATATAGTATAAAATAAAGTCGCTGCCGCTGTCTGTCCATCCCTATGTATGCTTAAATCTTTAAAACAACGCAGGGGATCCGTATACAGTCATGTTAAAAAATGACTGTCTATTCTAACAAAATAGTGCTTTATTACTATGTTCATAGGGGAGCCCCTATGAACATCATGACCATGCTCTTGGCACATTAGGATAATGGAGCCATTATCCTAATGTGCCATGCCAATGAGCCTCTAATAGGTGAAGGACGGCCCTGCCCTAAGCATGGGCGTAATAGAGCCGAGTATGTTAAATACACACATGTATCGTACGTTGATTTTTCAACACACTTGCGAGGGAACGCAATAAAAAAATCATTATATATTGTTGATTGTCAATTATTAAAACAGTTAGTAGAAGTATAATTATTAAAGTGATAAGCATTTCCCGCCATTTTACTTTTTTAAATCGGCACGCTTCCTACTGGCTGGCGCCGCGCAGTATCATCATCTGCTTCTTCCTTATCCCATTTATTTGTGGTCGGCGTAATATGTTTTTCTCTTCCATTCATCTCTGTACGCAGTCATCTCATTCGTACTGCGGTTAGGGAATATAACTTCACTATTTTTAAGTTATTTATAAGTTCCATTTTTCAAATAGCTATTAATACAAAGGGTAAACATGTAAAATGTACACAATAATAAGTCACTCCAGTCTCTACAATACAGGCCTGCGAGCCTAGTGTAGAACTACAGTAAATTAAAATGTAAATGTGCATCATGAACAAATATTATTATTATATTATACTAGATGAAAACCCGGCTTCGCTCGGGTGAAATGTGGGTGGATATTTCTGTAGTCATCGGTTCTCATGGAACATTAAAAGTAAGCAAGGCATAGATTTGTAAAGCTTCGTTCATTGTGTTTAATAAATATAGTAAATAAAAAGTGCAAAAGTTTTTATACAAATAATTTTTATTTTTTTGTAAACTTTAAGTTAGGCTAAAATTGGCTTGTATCCAGATCGTAAAACAGATTAATAAAAAAAATTGGCAAATTTGTCTCGCAATCGGCCAATTTCAGGTTTAAAGAAAAAACACATACTCTTTTATCATAAAAAAGTGTCAAAAACAATTTCTCGAAACGTCAACGACCGAAAAAAATGCCAGTGAAATGAAAAGATGGCGACTGCGGTTTGTTTGTCAGTGTCATTAGAATTTAACGAAATACTCCATAATCCGAATTTTGCGGATATATGTTGTCGACTCGAAATCAATATTTATTTATGTTTTGTTATTCACATAAGGTTTCTTTCGAGTCTAACATACCTCTTGACGGAATTATTAATATAGATTTGCGTTCATAACGCACGTGTGTTTTATGAGCTCCTTTATACATCTAGAAGTAGTAAAATTAGACTATTTTACGGGCAAGTGTGTTGGTAATGTATATAAACGACCACTTACCTTTAAACGATCCCGATATGATGACAAACAACACTACACACAGATTCACGCCCGTACAGAAATTGTTGAATTTCGACGATTCTTTCACGCCAAATGCGAGGGCCACTGAAAATATACAAATATTATGAAATGTATACAATTTTTTCCCCAGGACAATTCACACAGCACCATGTAGTCTCAAGTTAGCAGAGCTTGTGTTATGTGACAGCTGATATGCATGGATTTTTGTAAATATATCTATACATCTATACATATAAAGAAAATTTGAGTGTCTGTTTGTAATATTGAAATAACCGTTTTTTACTACATGCATATGAATATAAATACGGTACGTACACCAAAATAACATTTTTTACAATTTTTGTCTGTCTGTCGGTCTATTTGTTCCGGCTAATCTCTGAAACAGCTGAACGGTTATTGACGGGACTTTTTTTTTGGCAGGTAGCTGATGTAATAAGGAGTAACTTAGACTACTTTTATTTTAGAAAAATAGAGCTAAATTCCACGCAGACGAAGTCGCGTGTACAGGTAGTATATAATATACATAGAAAACATATTTTTTGTTCACACACTTTCGCGTTTATAATATTAGTACAATGGCTTACCAGAGAATACCATGATGACGGCAAAAGCAAACAAATCGGGGTAGCTGGCCAAGTGCGGCGAGTCCATAGGCATCGCCGCTTGTAGGTACGACGAGATCGCCTTATTGAACAACGAGTCCAGATATTCACTGAGTGCCTTCACTACCGACGCAGCACCTTGAGTATAAATAAATAATCATTACATACTATAAAACAAAGTCGCTCTCGCTGTCTGTCCCTATGTATGCTTAAATCTTTAAAACTACGCAACGGATTTTGAAGCGTTTTTTTAATAGATAGAGTAATTAAAGAGGAAGGTTTGTGCCGTGCGAGGAATCGAACCCGCGACCATCGGACGTAAAGCGGTGTGCTAGACCGCTAGACCACCGAGGTCGTCAATATATTGGAATATCATAATAAAAAATATATTATATATATATACAGTGGACCCCCGGTAGTCCGACAATCATTTTACAGGGCAGTGTCGGACTATCGAATTTGTCGGATTATAGAGTACTGCCTAAGACCCCTTATAGTCCGAATTTTTTTACAAAAGAGTACCTTGTAATCCGACAAATTATAGATCCAATGATGATTCTTTATATTATATACATATACAGTGGACCCCCGGTTATCCGACAAACGTTTTGCAGGGCAGTGTCGGACTATCGTATTTGTCGGATTATAGAGTGCTGCTTATAGTCCGGAATTTTTTACAAAAGATTATCTTGTAATCCGACAAATTACAGATCCAGTGATAAGATTCTATGTTATATATATATATATATATATATGTATATGCACTCTGAAGTATATTGTCAAAGTAATATTCAATAACAAATAATAGACAATGTCGGATTACAAGGGGGGCCGGATTACCGCGGGTCCACTGTATATATATAATATATTTTTTAGATAACTTACCTATAATATATTCTAATATTAAATTCCATCCAATTAGAAACGCTATAAATTCCCCCACGCAGACATAACTGTACACGTATGCTGAGCCGGCTTTTGGCACCCTGGCACCGAATTCTGCGTAACATAGACCTGGAACAATGTATGCTCATTTATTCAGTATTAGTTATTCATGACGACCTTGGTGGTCTAGTGGTCTAGCACACCGCTTTACGTCCGATGGTCGCGGGTTCGATTCCTCTCACGGCACAAACATTTGTATTCATGAGTATGAATGTTTGTATCGGTCTGGGTGTTTTCTATGTATAATATGTATGTATTTACGAAAAAAAATATCTATGTATTTATATCAGTTATCTAGGACCCATAACACAAGCTTTAGGTAGCTTAACTTGGGTCTAGATGGCGTAGTGTAAATTGTCCTGAGATTATTATTATTAAGATTATTATTATTCAATAGTACTGTATCATATTACTCCGTCATACTCTTGAACGGGTGCTGCTTGTGGGGACTGGTCTGTTTGAGTTGCGAACACTGATTATACTATGCACGTTTGTACTGTATTAGTCGATAAGATACTAAACCACTAGCATTGTATCATATTACTCCGTCATACTCGTGAACGGGTGCTGCTTGTGGGGACTGGTCTGTTTGGGTTGCGAACACTGATTAGACTATGCACATTTGTACAGTATTAGTCGAAAAGATACTAAACTACTAGCATTGTATCATATTACTCCGTCATACTCGTGAACGGGTGCTGTTTGTGGGGACTGGTCTGTTTGAATTGCGAGCACTGATTAGACTATGCACATTTGTACAGTATTAGTCGAAAAGATACTAAACCACTAGCACTGTATCATATTACTCCGTCATACTCGTAAACGGGAGCTGCTTGTGGGGACTGGTCTGTATGGGTTGCGAACACTGATTAGACTATTTGCTTTTGGAATAGCATACGCTGGTGGACACTATTCTCCCAAGTTTGAATTTAATAATTAATCTGTATTATTGTAAATATGTATAATAATATTAATTTGAAAAGAATACGAGCTGAGTTTCTTGTCAGTTCTCATCTCGAAAACATTCTGAACTGACGGTAATTTTGACATATCATAAAAGTCTGTAATAGACCTACATGAAATAGAAATAGAAATAATTTTTATTCAAATAAACTCATTACAAGCACTTTTGAATAGTCATATTTTGATTCTACCACTCATTCGGAATGCAGATTCATCACAAGAAACTTGTTTGTTGCTCTTTTGAATAGATGTTTTTTTTATATTATGTAAATAATTACAGTATAACAAGTAAGAGGCATGCGATAATCAACACAGAAATCGCTACGCACTCATTATTAGTGTAATCAGATAATATTGTCAGTGCTACGGATTTTAAGTTTTTCTATAAAAAAAATAACGAATTCTTCAATTTTATAGTAAGCTTTTTTTGCAAAGGATGTGTTTTATTTGACATTTAAATCTATTTTCAGGCAGAGATATAACAGACTCTTCTATTTTGTTGTAAAACCTTACGCAATTGCCAAAAACGAATTACTAACTTTAGTAAAACGATATGAATTTGAAATAAATAATCATCGTTCCTCACCAGCGAACACGCTGGCGACCGCAGCCAGCAGGAAAGACAGTATGACAGCGGGCCCGGCGTAATTCTTCGCCACATCCCCCGCTAACACGTACACCCCCACGCCGAGGGTGCTGCCGACCCCCAGAGCCGTGAGGTCCAAAGCCGAGAGCACCCTGGCGAGACGAGCGGCGCCCTCTTCCGCGGCTTTGCGACGAGACAGCACGCTGTAGGTGACCCGCGCCGCATGTGACACCCCTGCTTTTAGACCTCCTGAAAAAATAATTGTTAAAAGTATTTAGACATATTTATTTTTTTTATCTATCGCTCATTCGGAAATCTATATCATAAAAAGCCACTTGGATATTTCTCTTTTAAATCATTGTTGTAACTTTACATTTCTGCATTTTAAAAAATACAAGCTGTGCTCGCAGCGTCACTCGTGTTAAATTTCATTAAAAAATATAGCCTATATGTTATTCTCATGCATAAGTTATATTACTGTAAAATTTCATCAAAATCCGTTTCGTAGTTTTTGCGTAAAAGAGTAACAAACATGGATGCATGTTTGTACTCATAAACTTTCGCGTTTAATACTAATAAGATAATATAATATACCCTGCAAAGTTTTTTTGGTATCAGCCAGATTCGAACAAACGACCTTTAGTGTCGAAGTCGTCTAGTTAAACCAATAAGCCATGACTCTGGAAATTGGTTTAAAAATAACTTTAGAGCTGTGCAAGTGATATTTAAAATGAATACAAATCGACTATTAATTAGCGATCTGACCTTGTATAATACCTAACATATATTTGGTTGACTGGTAGAGGATGCCATCAGGCATTAAGTCCGCCATGTATACATTTTTGTGTGCAAAAGAATAAATAAATAAATATACTCTGACAAAATAATATAGCAATTCATATTTCTTCAGGTTGTTATCTAATTGAATGTTTTTATTTTAATAATATCTGTACTGTATATCTTAACATTTTAAAACGACGATTTAGCGGTTTTGAAAACCGCTTTACTTCCGATGGTCGCGGGTTCGTTTCCTCGCACGGTACAAACATTTGTATTCATTAGTACGATTATTTATACCGATCTGGTGATTATTATGTGTATATTTGTATTTATAAAAGATAATATATTTAAATATTTCTATCAGCTCTCTAGTACCCTTAACACAAGCTCTGCAATGTCTAGACGTTAGGTCAATTAGCCAATCGTGGTGAATTCACCGGTATTGAGTAATTGAGTAGGATGGTTCCTAAGAGGGGACCACGTGGAGGTCAACCTGACATAATGCAATGCTAACGTGGGTAAAGGGATTGTTACTACTGTGAACTAATTACTCCATCACTAGCAATTTATTAGCATCCCATCATCATCATCATCATCAGCCCACTGCAGTCCACTGCTGGACATAGGCCTCTTCCAAGGCACGTCACTGGGCACGATCTTCAGCCCCTCTTCCATTTTTTACCCGCAACCCTACGTATGTCGCCGCTCCACCTAGTTGCGGGGCGTGCTACACTACGTTTGCCAATTCCATAATCATCCATAAAAAAACGCTAACAATGGAGCTTCCAGTTCCTATTACCAACAATTCCCTACCTCTCAGAAAGCAGTTCTGCAAGCCATAAAATTCTCTTTCTCTTGTAAATTTTAATAATAGGAAGAGTAATAGCATTATAAAATACTATCTACTCGCCCCGGCGTCGCTCGGGTGTACATGTATTATATATACATATATATAAACCTTCCTCTTGAATCACCCTATCTACTAAAAAAACGAATATCACCCTAAGTGATTTTTTATTACAAAATCAACATTTAAAAAAAATATTACTATACTCGTACAAAACCTGGGCAGGTAACTAGTTTAGAATATGGAATCTATATGCCTACCTCTCTGAAAGGAACATGAGAATCACCCTTAAGTGATTTTTATTACAAAATCGACATTTAAAAAAAAAATTACTATACTCGTGCAAAACCTGGGCAGATAACTAGTTTACAATATGTAATCTATATGCCTACCTCTCTGAAAGGAACATGAGAATCACCGTTAAGTGATTTTTTTATTACAAAATCGACATGTAAAAAATATATTTAATTTATGACGACCTCGGTGGTCTGGGGGTCAAGCACACCGCTTTACGACCGATGGTCGCGGGTTCGATTCCTCGCACGGCACAAACATTTGTATTCATGAGTATGATTGTTTGTATCGGTCTGGGTGTTTTCTATGTATTTACAAAAAAAATATCTATGTATATGTATCAGTTATCTAGCCTAGTACCCATAACACAAGCTCTAGCTAGCTTAACTTGGGTCTAGATGGCTCTGTCTGAATTGTCCTGAGATTATTATTATATTACTATACTCGTGCAAAACCTGGGCAGGTAACTAGTTTAGAATATGGAATCTATATGCCTACCTCTCTGAAAGGAACATGAGCATCACACTTAAGTGATTTTTATTACAAAATCGACATTTTATAAAAATATTACTATACTCATGCAAAACCTGGGCAGGTAACTAGTTTAGAATATGGAATCTATATGCCTACCTCTCTGAAAGGAACATGAGCATCACACTTAAGTGATTTTTATTACAAAATCGACATTTAAAAAATATATTACTATACTCATGCAAAACCTGGGCAGGTAACTAGTTTAGAATATAGATTCTGCAGTCACGACATTGCTGATTATTGTGGTACGCAGCAAAATGACTATACAGCATCTAGGTCGCATTGGTCATTTTGTTGAATCGACAGAATATCTTCAGAATATAGTGTATGATATGACGTATATAAAATAAATTCGAGGTCAAAACCTTATTACATGATACACTTTTGCTGTTCAAATCTAGCCGACAACAAAAATCATATGTGCTAATTCATATTTCAATTAATAGAAGAAAAACATATGTAACAAAAATGCAATAGAATACGCTGGTCGACTCTACATTCTCCACAATTGAAGAATAAGATCTGAGTTTCTTGTCAGTTCTTCTCATCTCGAAATCATTCCGATTTGACGGTAGATTTGACATATCATAAGAGTCTGTAATAGACCTACATGAATAAAGATATTTTGGGTTTGAATTTGAATTTGATAAATAAAGGTATTTCGAACCTCTCTATAATAGACCTTTATGTATAAAGATATTTTGATTTAATATTATAATGTAATACAGCCATAACGAAGCCTCTGACTATCCCCTCTGGGTTAACAGTCGTGAAATATATTATTAATATAGTTTTTCGGGTTACAACACGAATAATATTATGGTAAACAAGCTGACTCCGCTACTGTTTTCCCATAGAACTTGAAATTTTTTTTTATCTCAGGACAATTTACACAGCGCTATCTAGACCCAAGTTAAGCTACCTAAAGCTTGTGTTATGGGTACTAGATAACTGATACAAGTACATAGATATTTTTTTTTCGTAAATACATACATATTATACATGGAAAACACCCAGACCACAGATAACATAATATTACATACCCAGACCGATACAAACAATTATACTCATGAATACAAATGTTAAGCTACCTAAAGCTTGTGTTATGGGTACTAGATAACTGATACAAGTACATAGATATTTTTTTTTCGTAAATACATACATATTATACATGGAAAACACCCAGACCACAGATAACATAATATTACATACCCAGACCGATACAAACAATTATACTCATGAATACAAATGTTAAGCTACCTAAAGCTTGTGTTATGGGTACTAGATAACTGATACAAGTACATAGATTATTTTTTTTCGTAAATACATACATATTATACATGGAAAACACCCAGACCACAGATAACATAATATTACATACCCAGACCGATACAAACAATTATACTCATGAATACAAATGTTTGCACCGTGCGAGGTATCGAACCTGCGACAACCAAAAGTAAAGAGGTGTGCTAAACCGGTAGACCACCGAGGCCTTTATATTATAAAGGGTACATGTGAAAACATCCTTTTAAAAAATACAGTGAAAATGTAAATGAAACGATAAACATATCCCATAAAAATATATAGTATAAAAAAATCCTTTAAAACAGGTTATAGAACATATTCCGTACTACAAAACTACGTACAATTGGAAATTGCCATGAAAATCAATTAGTTGCAATGATAACATTGTTTATTCATATCAAATGAACAATACACATGTTGTATGAAAAATTTATGAGTATACCTGAACACTCACACTGTGACGTATCAAATTAATAGTAATTATATATCAAACATATTTACAAACTAGCTGTTCTCGCGACATGGAATTTAACTTTATTTTTCAATTATTTTTTTGTTCTCGCGACTTCGTCCACGTGGAATTTAACTTAATTTTACAAAAAAAAAAATTTTTTAACTTCTAGTTGCCTAAGTTACTCCTTGTTACATCAGCTACCTGCCAATAAAAGTCCCGTCAAAATCGGTCCAGCCATTTCAGAGATTAGCCGGAACAAACAGACAGACAGACAAAAATTTTTAAAATGTTATTTTGATGTACCGTATTTATATTCATATGCATGTAGTAAAAAACGGTTATTTCAATATTACAAACAGACACTCCAATTTTATTTATACGTATAAATGTATAGATTACATTACATAAAAAAAGTAATTACATAAAAACTATTACGTACGTATAATGGACAGCATTACGAAATGTCACCGTCTACAGAACACAGACCGTAATGAGACGCGTCTGGTGGTAACCAACCGACAATTACACCAATTGGGTGCCCGGACAGCACTTGATTGAATATTGAAAGATGGCAGCCATGTCGTAAAATATGTATCAGCAAAAAATATAGCTAACGTTCACGCAATCAGCGCTCCGTGCGATTTGACTGTTTAAACACATCCATAGAAATAAATAGAATTGTACTGTCTGTTTGTAATTTCAAATTAACATCTATTCCCTAAAATATCGATATAAATAAATTTATGTGTCCCTTTGAAATCAAATAGCTAATCACGGATAGCATATGAAAATACATATAGTACTTATATCAAAAAGTAATGTCTGTTAGTTCATGATAATCTCTGAAACAGACAAGTTTGAAAATTATTTTTTGTAATGAAAGACCGAAAGAAATGGCTAAACCGGTTTTCATGGGACTTATTTTTTAATAGATATATTAATTTATATGGCGAAAAAATTATTGCTGGGTCCGCTATTCTAATATTATAAAGCTGATGTGTTTTCGCTGAACACACTAATCTCAAAACCAACAAATTAAAAAATCTTTGTGTCAGATTACCTATTTATTCATGAAAGGAAAGAAATAACATCACTCTATAACCAATAGAAACGAAGCCTTATTGATAAATGTAGCAAAAACAGGAAAATATATAAAATTGATTCGTTTGTTTAAACACACTAGTGACTGGAAAATGCCCGTCCAATTAAAATAAAATTTTTGCATTTCGTAACACTGAAATTAAGGAATGCTTTAAGCATTCTAGTCTCTTACTAGTCCTCAACTGAAATAGCTCGGCGAAATGGACAGTAGGAATAGTAAAAAAAACGTAAATGTTCATGTGACAGATGTTGGAAATGAATAAATTATTTTGAGTTGGACTTTGATTTAGTCATTTCTTAGTTCAATAATCACAATAATGTAACTGTTAAATATATATAATGTAATCATACTCTATTACTCAATCTCAAGAATCTGTCAACTATTTTTTTTTTGTTCCCTGTAGGTATATCCGCAATCAGTAAGTGTACTATAATCAGATTGGTTGGTAAATGTATGTAATAGGTAATGATGTAATAGTCATTTACATATACATATGTCGAAATGCTGGAACAATTTACCACCCCCAATTCAAAATATTATTCAGTTTCGTATTTTAAATATAATTTAAAAAAATATTTACTCGCAAGTTTAAAAATCCTAAATGTGGCAGATAAATGCAGTAGTCATATATACGTATATATTGAATAAATATGTTACTTATATTATATTCAAGCTACATTATATTACACAATTAAGTCTTTCAATCAACACTCTTACGAAATTTTATACTTATATATTTTTCTTCTGTTGATTACACATACTTATAATTCATCTATTTAAGTCACTCTTCATTTTATATATTTAAAATCATCAAGAATGCTATTTCTTTTTTTCAAATGGCTCCACTGAAAATCAGCATTGTAGTGATACACTGCGGCACCAGCTGAGTGGAGGAGAGTGAGCCCTTTCAGCTCATAGCGAATTATTAGTTTCTAAGTTTTCTTTTCTTTACTCTGTAGGATGATGCTGAATAAATGATTATTATTATTATTAACTTGTCTTAAATATGTCAAACATGTCTCTCTCTCTCTCTCTCTCTCTGTTAAATGTACTGTGTGAAATGTATTCTCCTTAATTTGTATATTTAATTTCTGTTATAAAAGTAATAAAACAGTTGAATACAAGTTTTTATTATCCATTGGCAATGCTCTGCCCAATATTAACCAACCTGACTTCATGCTTATCCTAACATCTCCACTGCCAGAGTAAACACAGCAGTAATAATAATAATAATCTCAAGACAATTCACACAGCGCCATCTAGACCCAAGTTAAGCTAGCTAAAGCTTGTGTTATGGTAAAAAAAATAGATATATTTTTTTGTAAATACATGCATATTAGACATAGAAAACACCCAGACCGACATAAACAATCATACTCATGAATACAAATGTTTGTGCCATGCCAGGAATCGAACTCGCGACCATAGGTCATAAAGCGGTATCCTAGACCGCTAGACCACTGAGGTCGTCAAATGGTAATGTATACTATAGAAGATATATTATATTCACTAATTCCAAAAATTCTGTGCATCGTTATATCAACATAAAATAAGGGTTGTAATTTATTTTTATATTAGTTTAATTCAAGCTGACAGTCAACCTGATAGTAAGGGGTAATCATTACCGAAACATATAAGAAGCTCCAAAGACAACAGTTTACCATGTGACATTTGAGTACTGAGTGTCAGTATGTGAAATTATAGTATAGAGTCCTTTAATTCTACAGCCTTATCTGTTTAACCAAAATCGGCCAGGATTGCTTAAAAGCAGAGAGCAGAGAGCTTAAGAAAGCAGTTTGACTGAAATAGATAGACAGAGATATGCATGCAGCTACAGACAGTACTTTATCAGACCTGCTCTCCGAAAAAACAGCTGCTAACTCTGACAACACAAAAAACATAAAACATTGGAATAGTGAGGTCGCTCCATGGAGCCTATGAAGACACCAGGTTTCTGAACTTCTGGAAGAAGTTTGGCTAGCTACTTCAATAGTCTTGGTATTACACGCAGCCCTATATGAGAGCCTAAATGCAGATAATAGAATCCAACATACAATATGATATATAAACAGACAAGTTTTTAAAGCGTTGTATTTTATTTATTTTAGTTATTTTAGAAAGATTAATGGTGTAATTCTTCACATGTTATTAATCATTGTATAATTATTACATGCCAAAAAATTCCAGCAAATAAATATTTTAATAACAAAGTTGTGAATAAAGTTTAGATACTATAAAATAAGGGAAAATCTAAAGATAATATTAATATACCTTCACGACTATTATACCATATGGGGTATTTAGAAGCATTTCCTACTGTCAATGCTGTGGTGAAAGTAACACTTGATATGTCCACATTATGCTGGATAATTTTGATTCCAAATAGCAGGAGACGAGCATACCGCCGTCACTCAAATTCAGGGTCGAAAGTAGTATCCAATTAAGGAAGCGCCGTTTTAAGACGATTTCAATGGGATTGGTTTTCTTTCAATAATAACCTTATAATTTTAAATCTTACCTTCTGCGAAAGCCTGTTTCACGGTGTAAGCTTGGCCTCCATTTTGCCGCCCATTTCCATACACAATATTCCCATTTTCACCAGAATCTCCAGGATACGGCATGATATGTAATCAGACACTGCCGCACTTAACCTAAACTATAAATCTATGAAAGTAAAGTGGCCACTTAATTTCAAATAGGAGAACTGACTCATATGAACTACTCTCTGTGATAATATTACAAAATTAACTCAAATAAGTTATATTACAGAGAAAGTAAAATAGTTCAAATAAACTTGAAATTGAGTAAAGTAGATTGCGTCAGATTCAAACCAATTTTTTTTATATCCAGGGTTGCCATACTATAGTGTTCATATTACTACACAGAGATGTATGTAGCAAGTAATTTAATAATTTTTAATAACAATAGTTGATAAGTATAATATGATTAATAACTACAGAAGTAAATAAAAAAACCATATTTTTTTGTATCATATGTATTGTTATAATTATAGTATCATCTGGTTAATGTACAGAATAGTTTAGCCGATTCAAATTATTTTAAACTCAGGAAAACACATACAGTTTAGGTAGTAGAGATACCTGAATAATAAAAAATATATATTTTTTAACCTTACAGAAGGTAAAATATAAAAAACGAATAAGATTATAATGACGCCATCTTTAATATATTTTTTAACAATCAGACTGTAAGATTTGTGCTTGGCACTTTTGGCGAATATAAACTGTGCAATGATGTGCACAATAGTGCACATAAAGTTAGCAAGATATTTTGTTTATTACAAAATTTAAGCACGTTTTACTGCAAATAAAAGATGTCGCAAATCAGTTGCTACGAGCAGCATTGATGTTAATTATATATGAATAGAGTCGTTTTCTACGTCTTATTGTACGGTGCTGGAACGGACAGAATATATTTGTATTCAAACTTTATTCTTTGTCACCGACCTTACACTACATACATAGTACATATATAAGTAGGTACCTGAAATAGTTTTTTCATTGAAACCATACGTATGTATGGTTTGTAAAATACTTTACAATGTAACCGATCTCTAATTCCCAATAGATACTAACAATCCCCAGGAAGAACCTATTTACACAAATAAGATAATATTATATACTATTAATATGTAGTATAATTCATTATATAAGTATAATAAATTTTATTGCTTGTCTGTGTACCTTTTCATCAAACGATTAAAAAAAACCTTAGGTTTTTAATTTCATTCATCGACACTCATACAAGAAAACACAAATTATATATTATGTTGTTTATTTAAAAATAACCTTATCATTATAAAACAAACAAATATGCAATGGCAACATCGAAAATTAGAAAACTTATCTTTTAGTGTACATTTTATGAATGGACATTATTTGCGACTTGCGCACATTTTAAATCTACAATTTATTAGAATATACAAACGACACTATTGTTATTGTTAGATTTTTTTACAGTTGGATAGATAAAGTTCCTCTTCTATTGCGGAATTCGTTGTTTAGATTGGCCGGGGTGCCGGCATTGGACATAGCTTGAAGTAGCATATCATGACGGAATCTAGACAATAAATAAACATGTAAATATAAAAAGACTTGTGGACTTTTGTGTGATATTTTTATGGATGATAATGGAATTATGCACCCGCCTAGCCTGCGATAACGGGTTACGCAGGAGGTCGGGTCATTACAGTAGTCTATCTTGGCAAATGATAATTTACCACAATGGTTTCCAGGGTGAACCGTGTAGAGGTCAACCTGACATGGTGCATCGCTAGCAATGGATTATTAGTCCATATTTAATGGCGTTGTCGGTGGTCTAGCGGTTTAACACACCGTCTTACTTCCAATGGTCGCGGGTTCGATTCCTCGCACGGCACCAACATATGTATTCATGAGTATGATTGTTAATATCGTTCTGGGTGTTTTCTATGTATATTATATATGTATTTACAAAAACTATGTATTTATATCAGTATTGTATGGGTATACTGTCAGTTGGATGGTTCTAATTATTACATATCCTTACTTGGTTTTGCCTGCCTAGGCTTCCATTTTCGCTGCGGTTTCACTGTCTTCCCGCCCCTAATCCTCCCCAAAATGCTTAACAGTCTCTTCTTCATGGGTTCCTTCAACATCACCAAGTACGGCGTCATTGTTTCTTGAGGGTTCATTGGGTTCTCTTCTTTGGGCCAAGTTCTCCTATAAAAGAAAATTTTGTAATTTGTTTTATTTGCTTTATTTACCTTAAGGCCTCCGCTGAAATCAGTGCTGTAGCTTCGGTTGCAGCAATATGCTGATCGGAGTCCTTTTTAACTAATATTTTATAATAGCATATTGGTTTCTAATTGTTTTATTATATAACGAGGTACCCGCGCCAGTTTCTCGCGGGTACATGTATTATACATATAAACCTTTCTATTAACTCACTCTATCTATTACTAAAAACTGCATTAAATCCACAGCTGCAATTAAATGAACAGACAGCGGTAGAGACTTTATTTTATACTATGCAAAGATATCTGGCGTTACCCATACATTAATTTTGAGTTTTCACCAATCGGCGGCAGCTCGTCGACTATATGGTACAGCAGAACATCGTTCGACCTTGGTAACAGTCCATTCCGTGATTCAGATCCCGTGTCAATATTGCTTCGTTCCTGTGAAATAAGTATGAATAAGAAAAAATAGGAATATATTTTTTTATTTTATTGTTCTTTGTAAATTTCATTCCAATTTAATATTGGTTAGTTTTACCTAGTTGATGTGGAGCCTGTATTAAGTTAAGAGTCGGCTCGTGACCACCGCTAGTGCAACCTAATCGAAACGTCGAGAGAGGTAAATACCTTTATTTGCCATGAAATCATTCGTGTAAAAATCCGGTTAATAATATAAATAATTATGTTAAAGTTTCTGTAGATAAAGATTTCTGATTCCTCCGACACTACCCTTTAGTTTTAGAGTTTAGTGCAGGAATTGCTGTTAAAACATTTTGTCTATGTCAATTCATGTAAGGTGTACAAATAAATAAATACATAAATGTATTGCTGCCAATGAAATTACATAAAAGAAAATACATTTAAACGATACTTAATTATTCATTCATTCATTCATAATTTAAGAGCTACGCTCTTGTCGGTGGAGCTCTTGCCACTTTCCGCGATCTTCCATCATGCTCTTTAATTCTTGATACGACACGACTCCCATTTTGTCCTCAATTTGTTTGATGTAGCTATTCCTTGGTCTTCCCCTCCCCCTCTTTCCTTCTATTTTCCCCTCAATAATAATTTTCATGAAATCATCGTGCCGTATCAAGTGTCCTAACATTTTTCCTCGTCTTATAGGCGACCAAAAACCCGGATCAGCATATGTATGTACATATATGTATTTTACGATATTTCATCTACATGTATATCTTTTTTTTTATTTTAATTTTCTATGCTTATTTGTAAAAAATATTAATTCTTGGACCGTTAAGCAGCGCGCATAATTTTATATACGGAAATACACGACCAACACTGGGACTTCATCCGTACGTCGTGGAAATTCCGCACATTCGCACTGAGCGGTTCGCATCGACCTTCCTAATACGCACTGCCAAAGAGTGGAACACACTTCCAGCTTTTGTGTTCCCGGAGAAATACAACCCCGGATTCTTCAAGTCTATGGTGAATAGATATCTTCTGGGTGAGCGCGCTACATCCTAGGTCTTGCCATCATTTACCATCAGGTGAGGTAAGAGCAAGCGCAATCCCATTATTAATAAAAAAAATATTTCGTTAAATGAGAGGGACTGACTGAAAATCAGCGCTGTGCAGCGTACGTGTAAACGTTACGCTCACAGCATCAGCTGAGTCAGCACCTTTTGCCCAGAATACGCAGTGTGAGATACTACTGTTGCTATTTTATACGTAGTTTAAGAGGTTCTTTTTTTTATATAGTTTTTATTCAACAAACAGTGTACGAACTCAAATGTATATCTATCTTTTGTTCTGGCAATAAATAAATATTATACGACGACCTCGGTGGTCTAGCGGTCTAGTCTACCGCTTTATGATCGATGGTCGCGGGTTCGATTCCTCGCACGGCACAAACATTTGTATTCATGAGTATGATTGTTTGTATCGGTCTGGGTATTTTCTATGTATAATATGTATGTATTTACGAAAAAAAAAATATATATCTATGTATTTGTATCAGTTGTCTAGGACCCATAACACAAGCTTTAGCTAGCTTAACTTGGGTCTAGATGGCGCTGTGTGAATTGTCCTGAGATTATTATTATTATTATTATTATTATTATATGCCGACAGGATGCTCCTGTGCAGCTCTGGTTTTCAACCCCTTTCTACGAAATTTATACATAACATAAAAAATTAAATGTATTAATATCTAACGACTTCTGAATGACACTTTGTGAACGGAGTCTTAGTCCATAGTTCAGGAATGGTAATAAGTCATAACACGGTGGTCACATGACCACACGGTATTGTTAATGTATAATAGTAATATCTTGAACAATTCACACAGCGCCATCTATTCCCGAGCTAAACAGAGCTTGTGTTATGGCTACTAGAAAACTAATAGATATAATTAGATACATTTTTTTTGTAAATACATACATAATATACATATATAACACCCAGACCAGTATAAACAATTATAGTCAGAAATACAAATGTTGGCCGCACGATACAAATATTTGTATGAATTAATTGAATGTATACTTGATACATTTTTTTTATAAATACATACATAATTTCTATAAATTCTTGAGAACCCATAACATAAGCTCTGCTTAGTTAGAATGGGGTTACGAGAATTGTCAAGGGTTACCTTACCATAGAGGCCAAATCGGTGTCCACCTCGTCAGGAGGCGGGTCCTCGTAGACATCGGCTGCTCCTCCTAAGGCTACCATCAGGACCACAACGGCGCTGCAACCCACGTAAACTCGACTGGACATTTTTCTTTATTATTTTCTGTAATTTCAAGAGAATTGAATAGTTATACATACTTCATATTAGCTGTGCCTGCGGTTTCACTTGCTTGAAATTTATAGCCTATGTCTTAGTCTGATGTATAATTTATTGTAAAGTTTCATTAAAATCTATTCAGTAGTTTCTGCATTAAACAATAACAAACATATACATCAATACTCACAAACTTTCGCATATAATATTAGTAAGATACTCACAATTGTTATCCTAGATAGTCTAGTCATATAGATAGATAGATAGGCTAGTCTAGGAAATTGTAAACTGTTATTGTCGTAATGATTGCAACACTACAGTAAATAAATATTTTTTTAATAAACTGGTTTTCCTATTCGGTTTTTAGTTATTAAATTAATACAGACTGCACCTGTAATTTAATATTAAGATACGATCTTCGTTAGAGCCTGTACACCTGTGCGGAGCCGTGAGTCATTAGTTTACTTATAGCAATGAATAAATATACACCCTATATAAAAGTTGTTTTTCGAACAATACCTGATATCTGACGTTCGATCTATAATTGCTGTCTCAAAACGCCTACTACTATTGTCATTGCAAAAATAACGTGCCGTCATTTGATTGCTATACGGCTTTGGAGAGGTAGAATAGAAGTTTATTTTTATCAATGAGTTATTAATGTATTAAAATTTTGATATTGTTAATTGTTATCATGTAGTTATACTAATATGATCAATTTTAATTAGACAGTACAAATATGCGTTACAGAACTAAATATTATGACGGATTCGGTAGTCTAGCAGTTTAGCACACCGCTTTACTCGCGGGTTTCCTCGCTCAATACAAACATTTGTATACACGAGTATAATTGTTTGTATTGGTCCAGGTGTTTTCTATGTATAATATGAACGAATTTACATATAAAAAGATCGGTTGTCATATAAATATGCCGTAATTATTTTTTTTTATTTAATATTTTACGGCTCTGGATACAAGTCATTTTTAGCCCAACATAAAATATCCGTTTAATATTGCCATCAACTTCCTTCCTTCTTCCCACATATATTATTATTTATAATTCATAATACGTAGCATATATTATTTGAATTCTAATAAATCTGTGCGTCCTTATTATGAGAAAGCGATAAAAATATCCTGGACTACGATATGATTCACTTTTACTTGCTTTTGGAAGAGATTAAGAAATAAATAAATGATATTCGTTTATTTTCACTAAAATATAAATATACTTATTGAATTATACTTATTTATAAACATATTAAAATTGTTAGTTGATATATTGTACATTTTTAAGTTGTTATGCTTAACTGGGTTTTCAGTTTCAGTCAGTTGCAATAAGTTCTCATTTGGAGTGATTAAAATTAAAAATATTACGAATATTATTATTTATACCGAGGTAGAATATAATAGAATAGTAGCTCGTACATACTATTTCTATTCTATTCTATAATCTTTTTAAAAATTCCAAGCGAAAACTTTATTTTGTAAAAAAAAAATGCATTATAAAAAGGCGAGATATTTAAAGAATCATTCCAAACTTCAAGAACAAGAATATGCGTTCACAAGCATAAGCTTATGGTTTCCAGATTTTTAAAATTCGACAAATGCCAAGTAACTACTACGTCATATTATTTTTTGTTCAATCATATAAAAACTCGGCATGGGTGAATCGCAACATGTTTAAAAAAAAAACTTGAATTGCCTCCTTAGATCTATTTGAAGTGAAGTAACTTTCAATAAAACGAGAAATTGCTCATGCATATCTGAATTATATTTTCCATTCCTTTGTCTGTTTTATTTATAACTAGATACTCGTCCCGGCTTCGCACGGGTGTACATGTATTATATATATAAACCTTCCTCTCAAATTACTCTATCTATTAAAAAAACCGCTTCATAATCCGTTGCGTAGTTTTAAAGATTTAAGTATACATACGGACGGACAGACAGCGACAGCAACTATATTTTATACTGTGTAATGATTTCACAAGATGTACAAGTAGAGGGCAAGTTTAGTAAATGTAATAATTATTTGCTGACTAATATTAGAAGCTAGTTAGTGATGATTGCAACTTCGTCATCGAATGCATTTTTAGACGGCAGCTAGTATAATAATATGTAATTTAAATTATTAACCGGGTCTTAACACGAATAATTTTATGGCAAATAAAGGTGTACGGATACCGTGAGTGCTGTGTGTCGCGAACTTTCGTTAAACAATCTAGTGACGGTAGATGAAGAAAAAACTGCTGTCACCTATCTACATTGACATCGCTGTTACTCCAGTCAGCTCGTGACCACGACTAGTGCAACCTAGTCGAAACGTCGAGAGAGGTAAATACATTTATTTGCCATAAAATTATTCGTGTTAAGACCCGGTTAATAATTTAAATAATGTATATTAAACACGAAAGTTTAAAATTAAATATAATAATATGTAATATCAATGAATAATTAAAAACTAAGCAAATTATATTATGGGTAGGACATACCTACTGGACAACTGATTTAAATATATATATACATTTTTTTTATAAAAAAATGGGTTGGGAAAATGTAATTGCTGGAGACATGGTGGAATGCGAATTTTATGAAGACGATGTCTGGGACAGGGAAAAGTGGCGTGGACAAGGAAAACTGACCCCACTACCATGTGGGATATGTAAGTAAGAAGAGAGAGAGAAACATTTTTTTATAAATACATACATAATAAACACAGATAACACCCAGACTGATACAAACAATCATACTCATGAATACGTTTGCACCGTGCGACGAACCTGCGACCATCGGAAGTAGGGTGGTGCCCTAAATCGCCAGACTGGCGTACTACCGCTATACTGGTTAACTTGGGATTAGATGGCGCTGTGTGAGTTACCTGAGATATATCAGAATACAACAGTTGAATGAATCTTGATGAAATAAGTACACATATTAGGAAAAAGTGATAAACAGTCAGGCAGATAAACATACACATTGATATTAGAATGACCACAGATAATATAATATTACATAGTATGACCCAATTAAGGTACTCCTAATTACAACTACGCTTTACAAAAATCTCGTAGCTACGATGCTACAAGGTCTGTAGCGCTCCCGTGCTACGAGCGGCCTAGCTACTACGCAATTACCTACGCCGTAGCCTTACGGTGTATTGAATTTTCTCTCAATTTCCCGGCACTGTAGATAGATAGATTAAGTGTTATTGGATGGAAACTGGATTGTTAGTAATGTGGATTGATGATCTTATTGGTAGCAATGTACGAAAACAAGTTGACCTCCATGCGGTTCCCCCTGGAAACCATCGTGATGAATTATTTGTGAATTTGTCACGATGGGCTAACTGACTTGACCTCATGCTCATCTTATCGTCCTCCACTGGTGCCCCGCCAGCGTAAACCGTTAGCGCAGACGGGTGCACTATTTCATTATCATCTATAAATATATATCTACTTTATTTGTAACTAGCTACTCATCTGGACTTCGTACGAGTGTACATGTATTATATAAACTTTCTCTTGAATCACTCATATCTATTAAAAAACGGCATCAAAATCCGTTGCGTAGTTTTAAAGATTTAAGCATACATAGGGACGGACAGACAGCGAAAGCGACTTTGTTTTATACTATGTAATGTACAGTAATGAAAATAGATAACCAATATATTAAAGAACACATGTATAGTTACAAGATAGCGGTCTTATTGCTGAAAGTATTTTTTCAAGACAACCATAGAGAAACAGATTTAAATGTCGAATATATATGTAATATGAAAATAGGAGAAAAGTATAAAATAACAAACATATAGTGATAAAGACAATAATAATAAATATAATATGAATTAAAATGTATATAAGGCTTCTATTACCAAAGACTAATCTTAGAAATGTGTATAAATATTCTCACTAGTGTGTGTAATTTTTTTTTATTAATTTAAAAGCAAACAAATATTATCCGTATGCTTGATTGTCACCACCGTAGTATAAAAAAAAATTCTCACCGTTGATTCACGATATAAACTATATTATTCTGTATGTAAGTAGAAATTTACACTTATTTTCAAAAATAAAAATATTTATAAAAATCGGTTATACTCATAACATTAATACTCGAATTAAAGACAACTTTGTTCTTGGTGTTGAAATTGTGAATGGATATTCCAAAGAATACTCTAGAATTATATTAAAAAAATAACTTTTAATTTATATTGCAAAACATATTTACTCAGTAAGCGATAACTTAAATAACAAACCTGTATGTCAATAGTTCATGCATATGATTGAAATGATTGAATTATTGATTGACACAAAATTGATTTTCTTGTTACAAATTTTCATTACATTTAGCAATGCTAAAATTACTTAAAAAAAAAGGAATCCAGTTGAATTTCTTGCCATCAATTGAAACTGTAGACTGATCTGAGCGGTAGGGAAATAAAAAACTTTAAAAATAGTAACTTGGATATATCCAGCAACTAAAAGACGACCTACGGGAATATTTTTTTAATTAATTTTTCAATTTAAGCATAATTGTGAAAAAAATAGTTTTCATACCTATTTCATATCTATATATTAATAAGTGAAGCTTTTTACATAATTTGCGCGAAAGTTAAAACGAATTGACTAAATGGCTGTTAGTGCACTGTATCTACTCTATAGATGATTATTTAAATTATAATTACTATGAATAAAAATGTAATGTGATGTAATAATAATAATAATTGTAAAACATTGTATAATAATCGTTAAATATTAACTTAGAATATAATTGTTATAACAATCTTGTCTCGAATAGAAATATAGATATTTTCCATTCAACGCTGGTCCAGTTCCGGAGACAATTAAATTTCGACCGTAAAGAGACAAATTGTATTTAACATTGTACCAATTTTCTTTTCTTTAATATAAATAAAATTCTGTTAACATGATAATTCATTGCATTACGTAGTTATATATCATTTTCTATTTAGTTTACTTTTTATTATATAACCTTATCTAGATATCTAGCGTATATTGAATGCGTCTATATAATTTAGCTCTTAGGCATACATAGTGTTGGATTACAATCCAGTTTTGTACCGAACTACACGCTCCTAATTATATTATTATATTGACTGTAATCTGTTTTGTATGCTAATAAATAAATAAATAAATAACATATGTAATTTTTAGGCTTAGTGATAAAAATTTGCATGCCTACTGTAAAAAGGCATATTACAGCGCTGCCTGCTGATATCCTCACTGGCTTAATTGTTTACTATCTTGTCTGTAATGCAAATAAACGACTTACTTACTTACTAATATTTCTAACACATATAGTAAAGGAACAAGGAAGGAGTGCAAAATCCTAATGTTTTTCAATATTATATTTAAAACACATTAAATCAATAAAGAAAAAGTACCATATATTTGACACATACACGCATATATACGTTTTTGTTTATTGTTAAAATCTGTAGTTAAATTGAGAGTAGATATTATTTGTATATAGTCTTATTAAATGTTAAATTATGGTTTAAAAATTATATATATAATTATGGTTGTAATTTACGCCAAGTGGTCGAAATGGTTATAAAGTTTTTGCATCGCGTATTAATATTATGATGAATAATTGTGTGTACAAAGTGGAAATAAAAAAAGAACAACTAACTTTGTTACATATTCCCAAATTACTGAATTGGGAAGATTTGAAATAATTGTGAACGGCTCGTTTTAAGAAAGGAAAAATTAATATAAAAGCTGAACAGAAAAAAATTGTTTATTGCAAAATTTCTAAGTATGTAATTCACAAATGAAAATACGATATTCTCTCTTTTTAAAAATTGACATAGAAAAAAGAATTGTACATAATCCCTCAACAATAGCTCGATGCAGATGTACTTGGTTTATTTAGTTCTCCAATTATATGAATTGTACAACTCACTTATAGTATTTTTTTTTATACCGAGAATAGAATATAACTTTTATCATTAATTCATTGCCTTCAAACAAGAATATTCGAACACGTCATGATATACGATCTTTTACCTCATAATAAGCAGTTATTTATTTTTTATTAGTAGTTACATCTATGTATAGGACACAACACGCAACTGTATGTATATAATATGTGACATATAAATATACATATTAGAAATTATCTCATGCCTATTGGAATTTCCTACCGGGTTGCAAAGTTAGATTTTGTTATCTAAAAAGCACTAGTTGTGTTTAAAACATGCATTTATGTATTTATGTTAGTTGTTTAGTAATCTGAGTAGAAGCTATGATTAGTGTAGTTTAGGTCTATATAGCGGTAATAAAACGTATAATTCAATTATTTGTTTTATACGTACAATTATTACTTTTTTGTGCGTTTTTTTATGTATGTTGAAAACATATGAAACAGTTCAAAACAAATCATTTTGCGTAGTGTGTAAAGGAGTTACTTGCACTCACTAAACGCAGTATGTTAAATTTAAAAAAATACGACTTAACTTCTGTATTGATATTTGTGTATTTTAATATTACAAATTATATTTATTTTATATTTTAATTAGAAACTAATTATTATTCGTTGTAAAGTATAAGCGTATCAGTTTAAATATTTACACAATGCATGCAATTTAATTATTATTTATGGATTTATTTGTTTAATAAATTAACAATTAAATTATTTGTTATTATAATTATATTTGTATTATAAGTTGTGTTAATTATATTTATTGTTCACTCAAATTAAATAAAAAAATCATTTATGTGGGATATTTTAACCGCTTATGAACATCAAGTTTTTTGCATTAATATTTTCCTCTACCGTCCAGTGCAGTACACAGATTCAATTAATTATTATTCAAAATTATTCGGATAAAATAACTGGCAAACTGAAACACTAAATAGATAAATCACATTTAATTATTAATAATTAACAATTAATTGAAACACAATTTATGTAAAAAGTTTGTGGTATAAATTAATTTTAATATTACAATGAGCAATACACGAATTGGATTTTGAAATAATTAAAATCTTTTAAAGTCAAACATGAGTTAATTTTAATAAAAAAATATACAGTAACATCAATGTACAATATTTATTAGAAAAGAATACTAGCCGAGTTTCTTCTCGTTGAAGTCATTCCGAAGTGATGGTAGATTTGACATATCATAAGACTCTGTAATAGACCTACATGAATAAAGATATTTTGAATTTGTATTTGAATCAACTGCAATTTTTTGCAAAAATACAGATATTTACAATAATAACACCGTTGCAAACTCGACGTGGGTCGTAAATAAAAAACTATACCTAAAAAAACATTACAGTAATTAATCCGCAAGTACTATACGAACCTGATTTCGAAGTACACAAATACGTTTACAAGGGTGGGTACAGGCTACCTTTCGGAGGGTTGCGTCGCAGTCGACTGACGGCCACAGCCACCCTCCCTTGATTATATCTCGTCCCCTACACCTGGACGAGATGGGTTGTAGTTGTAGTACGCAATAGTTCGAGGAACGTAGAACTTAATTTATTTACAGGTAGACTTTGTGCTAAGATTATATTTTAGAGAATCATAAAGAAAGAAAAATATTCTATTCAGTGCAATGTAAAAAATACAATATAATCATACATTATAAACAACAAACGAAAAAAAAGTCCATTACGATAATTATTGGATGACCTCGGTGGAATACCAGTCTAGCACACGCACACCGCTTTACGACCGATGGTCGCGGGTTCGATTCCTCGTACGGCACAAACATTTGTATTCATGAGTATGATTGTTTGTATCGGTCTGGGTGTTTTCTATGTATAATATATATGTATTTACAAAAAAAATCTATGTATGTATATTAGTTATCTAGTACCCATAACACAAGCTTTAGCTGGCTTTACTTGGGTCTAGATGACGCTGTGTGAATTGTCCTGACATTATTATATTATATTATATATGAGAAAATTTCGTTTAAACGTAAATTACGGGAATATTATTTATACTTGTAACTTCTCTTTTATTTCCCATATCCTTATTGTACATTTTTCTTATCTATATACATGTTTACTACTGAACCGATTGCAAATTTGATTTACACATTGTGTGCAATTTTATCCAACTTGAAAGATATAGCTTACATCTCCATTTATAGTCGCAATATTATTTTATTCCAGAATCTTCAGAATGCCGGCCACAGCAACCTGTTGCCGGGTCTGCTAGTGTATTTATATAAGATATAGTTCTCTCTGAATATATCTATAATTGTTTTTTGTTACTCCTTACATTTTTTTATTTTCAGGCGATAGAGTTTGGCCGCCCCGCTCTGTTAGTTTGTTATGTATTTTTTTTTTATTCTATATATCTGATTGTCGTTATGTAATTTATTTTAATCTATTTATAAGTAATTCCCTACCCATCCGGCTTCGCGCGGGTGTACATTTATACATATAAAATTGGAGAGTCTGTTTGTAATATTGAAATACTACTTCCGTTTTTTACTACATGCATATGAATATAAATACGGTACATACACCAAAATATCATTTTTTACAATTTTTGTCAGTTTCTCTGTCTGTCTGTTTGTTCCAGCTAATCTTTGAAATGGCTGAACCAATATTGACGGGATTTTTTTGGCAGGTAGCTGATGTAATAAGGAGTAATTTAGGCTACTTTTATTATAAAAAAATTCTATTATTTTAGAAACATAAAGTTTAATTCCACGCGGACGAAGTCGCGGGAACAGCTAATGATACATATAAACCTACCTTTTGACTTACTTTATCTATTGCTCAAAATTTCATTAAATTTCGTTGCGTAGTATAAAAGATCTAAGCGACTTCATTTTATGTATACTATGTAAAAAATTGTACGTAGTTTTTTGCTTTTGTGCCTCCGTATATAATTGAAATTGAGCTTACGATATCTTTGATATTGACAAATAAAGAAGAATCTAGAAGAGCTGTATTTTTGTGTGTTTATTCTACTTTAGTCTATGATGGAGATTATATATATTATTTAGATGTAGAGATGTAGAGTGTCTTAAATGTAATGGATTAAGGGACCGTATTAGGCATATTGATTTAAGAAGAAAAAGTATAATCTATCACATTTAGAATAAGTAATCATGTTGCTAAGTAAGTTTATATGTAACGTGCAACTGATCGTAACGAGAATAAATTATATTTAAGCTGTATATGTGTAATCCACTGAATATCTCTATCAGTCTATTCTTTGTGCAGTATTTCTATGTGTGTAAATAAATCCCATTTTAATTTTTACTTTAACTACTTTTACGTAGTATTACAAACTAATTAAAGAACTGAAGAGCGAAAGAACTAATTCACTCACGAACTATACAAGACTAGTGGGTGGTGACACGTGGAAGCAACTGCAACGACACGAGTTATAAAACATCAAAATATCTCCAAATAGATCCGCCAATGTTTATATATGTATGCTTTTATAGTAATTTTAAATGCACTTACGTTTGTTTTTACCCGACTGGTTAATAGGAGGTTTGAAATTCTGTATTTGTTATCATTTTAACATAATAATATTCCTGAACAAGTCACAGAGCGCCATGAGTTCCAAGATAAGCAGAGCTTGTGTTATTGCTACTAGATGTCTGATACAAATACATAAAATTCTCTTTTTTTAAATCATACATAACATACGTAAGAAACACCGAGATGTTTGTACTGTGCGAGGTATCGAACCTGCGACCATCGGAAGTAAACCCGTCAATCATTAGACCACCAAGGCCGTCAACTTTTTTTAATTGATGCTTTCGGATTTACCTGTATGTATGTAAAATTATGGCAAACATATTTTCTCTCAAAAACGTTAACAAAAAAAAATATACTTTAAAAATAATTTTGTGGGAGGTGGGGAGAAATTTTTATACCTGTATACCATATAGAGATAATGCTGCCTCGCTATACCTCATGTGTTTTATAAAACTATAGCCTTCGTAACTTTTCTATTTATATTTATAAATAATGTTTTTTTTTTACCTAGACACCTAGCAATAAAATAAGATACGATCTATGTGTATATTTGTATAACGAGCTCGGTGGTCTAGCTGTTTAGCACTCTAGCTTATTTCCGATGGTCGCAGATTCGATTCCTTGTACGTTACAAACATTTGTATCCTATACTGTTATTGTTTGTACTTGTCCGAGTGTTTTCTATATATCTCCACAAAAAAAGGTATCAATATTTATATCTGTTGACGTTGTGGGCGCTGTGTGAATTGTACCGATATATTATTATTTTCAAATTTAATTGGAATCCGTTGTAATCCATCGTAATTGAAATTAAGCAACAAATATCCGAATATGTGTAGAGAACTTTGATATTAATATCGGGATTGCTTTATTCTCTACGCCTCACTTCGTATGTCGCCACAGAAGTCTAGATCGATCTCCGAACTCATAATAGGCATACCTCCAACATTATATATAATTAGGTGGGGAAATGGAATTATTATTAATGTACACCAACTACTCCAAAGCTACCAAATTTATACTAAAAAGCTACCAATTACTACTAAAAAACTACCAAATCGTCTTCCACGCGGAACATCGAAAACATCATGATGAGTTCCTGAGGAATTTATTGCGTTAGGTCAACAAGTTCCTGCTAAAGTCACGATGGACCAACTGACCTAATATCATGTTTTTTTAAGTATGAGAATGATAAAACTACATAAGAGGTCAGATAAGTTAGCCCATCGTGACAAATTCACTAGGAATGTATCACGAAGGCTTCCGTGTGAAGGTCGACCTACATAACCCCCATTGTTAGCAATGCATGGTGCATTGCTAACAATGGGGATTTATACTAGCCACTATTACTAACAATCCCCCCAATCCAAGTTTTTTTTTTATAGATGATAATGGTGAAATGGAATGGTGCACCTGCCTGCGCTAACGGTTTACGCTGGCGGGGCACCAGTGGAGGATGATAGGATGAGTATGAAGTCAGGTCAGTTAGCCCATCGTGACCAATTCAAGATAAATTTATCTCGATGGTTTTCATGGGGAACCGCGTGGAGGTCAACCTGACGGTATATTGCTAGTAGTCATGCTAGGGGTCATGAGTCCACATTACTAACAATTCCTTTCCCCCCCCCAAACCTCATGTTCATCCTATGATTCTCTACTGAAATACAACTTTACACATGTCGTGTTTGGTTATGACCAGATTTCAATTCAGGACCTTTGGGTTTAAGTCAGAGTAGTCCAGTAAACGATGTTCTATAATAATATTTCAATACATAAAATTCTCGTGACGCGGTGTTTGTAACCAAACTCCTTCGAAACGAAACGATACTTTACCATTCTTATGAAATTTTGTGTGCATCGCGTACGTTCGAGAATTGGCCAACATCTATTTTTCGTACCCTCAATGATAAAGGTGCCCCTAAAGATTTTATTTATTCTTTTGATAATATTTTATTTTTAATGAATTAAAATTTAGCATTGAAAAATACATACAACTTAAAATTTTCACTGTTCTAAAATCATACCTATTTTTTAATAGAATATTTGGAGATCGAATTGGGGAACCCGGCAAACATCATTACATAGTATAAAACAAAGTCGCTGTCGCTGTCTGTCCGTCCCTATATATGCTTAAATCTTTAAAACTACGCAACGGTTTTGAAGCGGTTTTTAATAGATAGAGTGATTCAAGAGAAAGTTTATATGTATAATACATGTATACCCGGGCGAAGCCTGGGCAAATAGCTAGTATGCAATATAATATTTATTTATATCGCAAAACAACGTGTGTCGGAACATCTTGTAATTAATAAACCGCTTAATTTTTGTTATGGGTGACAACCCTACTGCACTGTACAGCGGGTGGCATCCTTACCTACCCTACATACCTTATTGATTAATAGTTTTATATCTCGATTTGTTACTAATACCTTTTCATTCATTTCACACATGCAAAAGAGAAATGATGGGCACAACTGAAATTATTTGCTCTTCAGGCGTCCTGTTTCTTTTGAAATAAAGGTCCAGTTCTTGTAGGTGTGTAAAGATTGAACCTTTCGGAATGCTTTTATATACACGGCCTGTATCTTTACATAGCATAGAACAGTGGCGGTCGCTGTCTGTTCACTTTTAAATTTCATTAATTATAAAATAACCCTGGACAATTAACACAGCTCTATCTAGTCCCATGGTAAGCAGAGCGTCTGTTATGGGTACTAGACAACTGATGTACATAATATACATAGAAAACACCCAGACCGATACAAACAATCACACTCGTGAATACAAATGTTTGTACCGTGCGAGGAATCGAACCTGCGATCATCGGAAGTAAAGCGGTGTTTACAAAAAATATATATCTAAGTATTTATATCAGTTGTCTAGTACCCAGAACACTAACTCTGCTTACCGTG